ATTCACATGCTGTCCCTCTTTTTTATAAGTTAAGGTCATTCTGTAATTTATTTACTCACCAATTTAATGGCAAGAAGTAATCCCTTCCTGGGCACAGTAGTACGTGCCTGTAGTTACAACACTGGGAGGCTGAGGCAGGGAGACTATAAATCTGAGTACTGCTTGTGCAATTTAGTAAGACTTGGTTCAAAAAATTAAAAAAAGGATGAGGATAGAGCTCAATATGAAGGTACCGGGCTCAATCCCTAGAATTGCAAAATAATAGTGCTTGGCACCTCTGACTGTTCTATAAATGTTATTAATTAGACAGTAATTTTTGTGAGTCACACTGTTTTGCATTGCCATAAAATTATGTCCTAGAGAACCAGAAAATAACCTATTATTTCCTGCCGGTCTGTGGAGCCGCAGCCCATTACTTCAGTTCTGATAAAAAGGAGAGCATGGGCTTTCACCTAAAGCTGTGGGCCTAGTTTTGGGCTTTGCTGCCCTCTGGCTTTATGCCTTTGCCAAATCACCTATTTTCTCAGCGCATCTATGCATAGACAGATTCTCTATGGTTATGTGAGGTCAACAACATGAACAAATACATGGAAAGCACACAACACAACGCTTGTCTATATTGTGCTGCTATAAACATGGGCGCACATACGCTGCTGTGATAGGATGTTTTTAAATCTTCTGGGAATAGCTGCATGGAATGGGACCTCCAATTCTAGTTTTTTGAGAATTCTCCACACTAATTTCCACAGTCTATATGCCAGACATCAGGGTAGGAGGGTTCCTTTTCCCACACAGCCCCTCTAGCCTTTCTATTGGTTGATTTCTTGGAAGCCATTGTCTCAGTTACTCTTCTCTCGTTGCTGGGACAAACACCCAACACCCAAAATGAAGAAAGGAAAGCTCACAGTTACTGGAGTTTTCAGTATGTACTCCATTGGTTTCAAGGCAGAGTGGCACTTGATACTGAACAACCTTCTATAGTGGTGGCAAAGAGCAGAGCAAAATGGAGGAGTAACCACAAAATGACAACAGAAAGCAAGTCTGTCTCCCCGTCTCTCTCATTTTACATTCAGGCTATCTACCACAGCCTAGGAGTAGTACTCACACTGATAATCCCAGCAGCACTCACACCCATAATCCCAGTGGATCACAAGTTAGTCACAAACTCTAGAAGTCTGCCCCATGCTTGCATGAGGCTTTGGGGGGCGGGGTGGAGTACACACAAACCATAACAGCCATTCTTTCTGGAGGTTGAATCTCAGAATCTTAGTGATGTTTTAATTTGCATTTCTTGAATGACCAATGATGCTGAACATTTAAAAATCTATTTGCCATTTGTATTTCTTTATCGAGAAGTACGTATTCATGTTAGATGTGCAAATTGGGTTGAGTCTGAGTTTGGAGGGATCTGACCTTTTTCAATTCTTTATATGCTCTAGATAGAAGTCCTTCATCTGAGGGACAGTTGGCTAAATTTTTCCCACTCAGTGGGTTTCCTTTTCACTCTGTTACTGATTTCTTTAGATGTGCAAAAATTTAATGAGGTTCTAGTTATTGATTCTGTGGAGTACTTCCCCTGAAGTTTGGGTTTTATTCCCTTGCCTTTATCAACAAGTTTAGTCTTTTCTTCTTCAGGATTGGGGAAAGAACCCTTGGCCTTTTCATGGAATCACATCCTCATCCCTTCTTCAATTCTGAGATACTCTGAGTTGTTCAGCCTGGCCCACACTTGACATCCTTCTGCCTAAAGCTCCCACAGTGCTGGGACTGTAGATGTGTGTCATTATGTCTGGCTTCTTTATTGCTATTACATTTTAATATCCCAGGGGATTTCACTAATTCCACTTCTTTCCAAAGAAAGTAATTCAAAATGGTGACAAGTACAGAAATATGTTTACCAAAGCATCATCTATAGTAAAAAGTAATTTATGTTTAACAATAGGAAATAATAGTGAAATAAGTGATGATGTATCTACATAAACAAATAATGTTGCAAACTTCACATTTCAGCCATTAGAAGGTATTAAAATTAAGAGATTAGTGACTATAATATTCTTAAAAGAAAATGGAAGAGAACTAGAAAGCAAATATTAGTGCATTAATCACCTTTCTATTGCTGGGATAAACTACCTGACACAGACAATCTAAGGGAGAGAAGTTCATTTTGGTCCATGACTTCAGAAGCATTGGTGCACAGTTAGTCAGCTGTGAAGCAAAGAGGGAGAGAAGGGACTTGGGACAGGACATGCCAGCAGTGGAACAGCTGCAGGGCCATGCAGCAGGAGGCACAGAGCCTTGTCTGTTGGCACCAGGTGAACTACCACAGAGTGACCCCAACAGCAGAGTCTCAGACACCAGGGCACATGGGTCATAGGCCCATTAGAAAGAATAGCTGCACTCAGCAATGGCATCGCAGGCAGCCTGAGCACCAACCAGGGCTGTAGAAGGTTCACCATCACCCGGATGTATCCTTTGAAGGTACACCCCCACGCCTTAGTTCCTCCAACAGGCGCCACCTCCAGACAGCCCATTCTGCTAACAAACTCATCGATGAATTCATCTGTTCATGCTATTAGCGTCCAAATTATCAATTGCTTCGCTAGGCCCCATTTGTGAATGTTGTTGGGGGGGCGGGTCAGGCAAGTCTTCAATATATGTCTCAATATATGAGTCTTTGGGGACACTTCAAATTTAGACCGGAACAGAATACTTTGGTACTTACATAAAAGTGTGTGTGCATATGCGCACGTGTGTGTGTGTGTGTATGTGTGTGTGTGTGTAAATAATAGGCTGTCATTTAAAATCTGTGGTTTTTGGTTCAAAATATTCAAAAGTCATACATTTCACATTTTGGCAAATATGACTGAACACCACAGTTTCATGTGGCTCAAAGAAACATGTGGCTAAAAGATGTGATAATGAATTTTTAGCAATGTGGAAATTAGGATTTTCAATGAAATATACTAAATAATATTTATAGATGAGTATTCATAAACACTATATACATTATTTACAAATATGTATTATATATAGGATCCTTACTATAAATATATGGTCAGGTATACATGAAATAAGAAAAAATAGGTATGTTTCTTATAGAACAGATGTTAGGCTATATGATCAACTTTTTCAGTATAATTTTCTATATGCCTTATGATTAATTTGTATATACTTATACACTTATACCTATGAATAGTTTAAAACTGTAAAATTTTAAATGACACCAATTAATCAGAGTTTCCTTTTAATTTAATGTGGCTATAATCACTTTTAAACACTAAGTTTCCTAAGTGGACATTATTTTTTAATTGGTATAATAAATTATACCAAATTTTTTGTATAAAGGCAGGTTTATAATAAAAGCAGGCTATCAGGTCGGGGAGATGGCTCAGTGGAATAAGTGCTTCCCTGGCAAGCGCAAGGGGCTGAGTTCAATCCCCGGTTCCGCAAAAAAAAAAAAAAAAAAAAAAAAAAAAAAAAAAAAAAAAAAAAAAGCAGGCTATCAAGCTTGGTAGCTACATGTGTTTATTAATTTTTAGAAATGCTGATATCCTTAGGTTCCAAGCAAATGCAAACTTGACATTGTACCTGAAATTGTTATCTTTCAAGTAGTTTATGGTAACTCAAACCACAGTAGAGGCTGGACCTACTCAGGGAAGTCCTGCTTCAAAATTTTTATGAAGTTATGCACAAGCATAAGAAATACATGGGACACATGAAATGACCTTCTATACTGGCTCTGTTATAACCTAGCTGTTTAACCTTAACCTATGGTGTCACTTAGTGTTTTCTTAGATGGTCTTTGCTACAACTACCCCCATATTCATCATCCCCAGCTATGGAGGTCTTTGGTAGGTGGGGAGCCAGGAGCTCTACTGCTCTTGCCAGAGTGACCTACACTGAGACTCTCGGGAAGGAAGGCCTGGCAGATGAATCAGGGTCACTACTGAATAGGCCCGGGATATTATAAAATCAAGACTAGGTCTGTTTTCCCTTCTTTTGCCTTGTACAAGAGAATAGAAACCAGAATTCGTGACAGGACATTTTCCTCATCACTTTTATGTATTACTTCACAGATACAATCATTTTGTTATCTAGTAGCAAAGCTTCATCATTCCCTCGCCTCAGATTCTTACCTTTTCTACCACGGCCTTCATTTCTGATCAGCTGACACTACATGAATCATTAGATGGTCCTTGTGAAGGAACCGTTGCAGGCAGCCTAACTCTTCAAGCATTCCATAATCTTTATGATTATTGCCATCTTCAGATGTGAAAATAGAACATCACTGTAAAGTGATTCAACAGAATCCAGGCATGTGGCTTCCAGCTTAGGCTCCCATGCTGCACACGTGTACATTTTAATTTCATTTCTAATGAAAAGCTACAATTGGTCCCTTATAGACAGTACTCATTCTTGCTGGTGGCTCTTGTTTCATAAGAAGTGTTAACGTGAATGCTCTTATTTTCAAAACAGTGCTAGTAAGACCCTTCAATGTATCTTGTGCATTTGTAGTGGAGTCTCCAACATCACTAGTACTGTAGATCCTCTCCGTTGGGTGCCCATAATGATACAGTTCCCAGCACCGCAGTTCATCTGACTCAGTTTTCAATTAAAAGATGACAATATTAAAAGCAAGGGAGTGGTTTATAACCACAAAGACCTCCAAGAAACAGAAGACTGAAAACACGTTAGTTTGCTAAACAAAAATGAAGATTTGAAGCGTTGTTACCTTTGTTCCATTATTTTATTTTTTTTTAAATATTTATTTTTATTTATTACATTTATTTATTGTGTGTGCGTGTGTGTGGCCAGCTCAGCCCACCAGGGGGCGGGGCTGGCTGGCATGTGGTGCTGGAGGATCGAACCGAGGTCCCTGTGCTTTGCCAAGCTTGTTTCAAGTAGGTGCTTTAGACCACTGAGCCATCTCTCCAGCCCTGTTCCATTATTTTAAAAGAAGCCTTACCAAACATGTAAATTGTATTTTTGTTTCTTTATAGGATTTCATCAAGGGTCTTTCCATTTTGCTTCGTGGGACAGTACAAGAAAAACTCAACTGGGCCTTCAACTTGTATGACATAAATAAAGATGGCTACATCACTAAAGAAGTAAGCAATTCATCCCTAGGAGCAATCCTGAACCATTTCCATTGCTTCAAAATGTTCTTTGCAATCATTAATTTGAAAATCATCCTCACAGAGACTAAAACTATTTTATGTAGTGGTGAGACATTCAATTTAAAAAGTAGAGAATGAAAAAAAATGGAGAATGGATTGGAATAGTTTAGGTGACTGTCCAAAGAAAATATAAAGCACATTAAGATTATGTCCTTGTTTTTTACTGGCATTTTAGTGAGTACTGGGAAGGAAATAAATACTGGTTGCAATCAAATGAAAATAAAATGAATCCAAAACATGTTAGAATATTTGGCCTCATAACATCCCCTCCCCGTGTGATTCCTATGAAAACAAGCAATTTTGCAGCCACATGCATTGTGCTACGACTTAAGTGTTTGGGGAATGACCTGCTGAAAGGGTGGGCCTTCCAATCACAGTTGCAAGCAGGCTATCCTCACAGAGCAAGGAAGAGGCTCAGAGCACATAGTGTATTACGGTGACTTAAAACACAAGAAGCAAAGGGAGAGAGATGATGTAGACAAACCACATTGAGAAGAGGGTTAGAGAAGGAGCCTATGCAAATCCTGAGCATGCTCACTCTTCATACAGCCCATCCCCCTACTTCACTAAGCTTCCCAGAGATGAGTTTGATTCCATAGACAGAAGGTCCAGGACCAAAGATAGGAACCTACTCCATCAGAGGAACAAAAGAAGTCTGCCTGGGCAGGAGTTGTTGACTCATTAGCAGTGATGGATTTTGTGTTTCTCCAGCAGAGGACACACGGGGTCAGGACCAATGGGTACCGAGACGTTATGACTATTAAATGCTCATGCATATGCCCCATTTTCTAACTTAGTGGCTCTTGTATATTTGGTGTAGCATGACCACACATTACCAGGAACATTAACTACCTCTTAGTCCTTCACCTCCTTGCTACCTCTTTCTGTGTTCAACATGTTTCATGGATGCTTCCTACATCTAACAGACTTCTTAGAAACCTGCTCAAGACATCTTAGACATTTTCACCTATTTTACAAATCAAAACCTACGGTCAAAATTTTCATGATCCACCTAATTCAAACATTTTATTTGAAAGAAACCTGAATATTGAAGAAATGAGATATTTTTACTCTCATAAGATAAAAAATGACAAGGCAAACTGAGATTTGGTTTTAAAAAGTCACTAAAACATTAAGGTGCTTACTAGTATCAAAACTGCTTCACCAGCATTCATATATAGCCTTGTCTTTAAAATTGGTGGGAAAAAATGAATATCCTAATCCTGTAGTAATTATTAGCTGTAATTTACATCAGTAATTCTAAGTGCAATGTATTCACAATAAATGGAAATTGATAACCAACAGATACATAACTCAATAAAACAAAGGTTACACAAAGCTATATATTCCATGCAAATCTGAATATTAAACCACATTTCTTTACTGACCATAATAGATACAAAGGAACTAATTTCAACTTGAAACTAAGATCCGAACTGATTCTTACATTCTGGTTCAACTGATTTTAAGGAAAAAAGTTGTTTCTGTTTTTTTCTTTCAAGAATCAAAGAAAAATCAAATGTTAAAACTGAGAGGGCAAACGCAGCACGCACCTTGTGCCGGTCTCTCCAGGCCTGCCGCAGCCTCACGTGCATGTCTTCTCCTCCGCAGGAAATGCTGGACATAATGAAAGCAATATACGACATGATGGGCAAGTGCACGTACCCCGTCCTCAAGGAAGACGCTCCCAGACAGCACGTGGAGACATTCTTCCAGGTAGGAATGATAAGCAGGGGCCGGGGGGTGGGGTGGGGGGAGACCAAATTATCAGCAACGCTCCCCATGGTTGCAAAAGCACTGTCATGATTTTAAGTTGACATATTTTACAGAGATACAATAGAATATTTTCTATCCTACAAATTTTGTAACTTTGAGTTTAAATTTATTACACTGTTAAGTGTGCTTAGTGAACACTCACAACACCCTAAATAGAGCACTAAGCAAGGCTCAGCTTTACAAGGTTATGTTTCCAATCACCTCCCAAAACTCTGTGATTTTAAAAATCCTGATTAGCCCCATTTTACAGAAGAGAAAACCAGGACTCTAAATGTTTCAGCATATTGTCTGGTCTGTCATGTAAAGTTTCACCTAGGACAGCAGTGACTGTCATCTTGGGAAAAGGCACTGGCTGAAAAGATCTGGCCCCGTGACTGATTGGCAAGAACTCACTAGCTCCTGCTGTGACGCGGGTCCCCACATGGAGCAAGCAGATGGGCTCTGCTCTACTGGCCTCCACTATGGGCTTCGGGCATGAGGGATTCAAACATAAAGCCTTAATAATTGCTTTGTTCTTTTTTCCCTGTACAGAAAATGGACAAAAATAAAGATGGAGTTGTTACCATAGATGAGTTCATTGAAAGCTGCCAAAAAGTAAGTACTGAGAAGGAAAGAGCTAGCACCCTACATTTACAGCAGCTATAGTAACTACTGCCACTCGGCCACCATGCACTAAACACAGCAGAAAGACCAACTGCCTAAGCTTGGCATGGCTACAGCAGGGCTGGCAGGCCTAGCACTTAGACAGTGTAAGTTTGCATTTGCTTACAACCAACGTCAGTGTGCCTACTCTAAGGGCACAGGCTACTTAGGAAGCCCTGGAGATACAAAACTGTCCATTTACTATGTTTCTTCCCAAGCCTTTTAATGAATATTTGTTATGGAAAAATGCTTTTCCAACACAAAAAATAGCAGACATTTCTGGGGGAAATGAGGGTGGTTACCCATCTTCTGGAAAATGCAGGTTAGTTTACTTGGACTTACTTGATTTGGGATGTGAGCAGAAGCATGCTTCCGACTAAAACAAAATCACAGAGACAAAGTCTGTGGGTGCTCCAGGTTTTCTTTTTATTGTCAAGTTCCTGACATCTGCCTGCTCTCTACTTACCTTGTGAAGTGGCAGTCTTCAGCTCACAAAGCACATTCCCCGAAAACTGACAGGGGCCTATGGAACGCCCAGAGCCTGTCCCGGTGGGCCTGTGAGGACAGTGCTAGCCTGAACACAGCCACTCCGCAAGGCTTCTTCAGCAGTGCTGAGTTAGCACTGGCAGCCCACTCCCTTCTGAAGGCCGCACACACTTGGCCATAACTGAGCAACGCGGAGCCGGCCATGACTGCCGCACACATTCTCTCCCTTGCTCCACCACCACCTGCCTTCCGCTCCCCAAGCGCAAGCCCTCAGAAACTGGCTGTAAGCTGTCACACATGTCTATTTTCCTGCAACTACATAAGTCTGTGATTTATCTATCTGGAAGGCGACATTTCTCATTTACTCACTTTGATTTACCTCCTAAACCTCTCTGGTTTCTGTAAATTCAGTATTATGATTTTAGAAATATCCTCTATTAGTGCTAAGTGAAATGTTCGAAGATTCAAGCAAGCATGGGCCACCCATGGTGACGTAATGGCTACCAGGCAGAGTGGCACTGGTGGGTGCAGGGTGTGCATGGGCACAGGCGCTGGTGGGAGGATGGCCCAGTCAGGGCCCAGCAGGGCGCCATCAACTGCACATGCGCTGAACTGAAGCCCTGCGTTTCTTCTTTACAGGATGAAAACATCATGCGCTCCATGCAGCTCTTCGAAAATGTGATTTAACTTGTCAAATAGACCCTCGATCAACAGACAAATGTGAACTACTGTACCACACTTAAAGTTGGAGCTACCACTTTTAGCATAGATTGCTCAGCTTTATACTGAGGCATATTATGCAAACAAGCTTTGTTTTAATATAAAGCAATCCCCCAAACATTTGAGTTTTCCAGTTATAATTTGCACCCTTTTCATAATGGCACTGAGCTCATGAGATGTTCTAACTCATTTCACACTCTGAATATTCAAAATAATAGATCTGGCATATAGATTTTGATTCTGTAGTCATGGGATTATTGATGCTTTCACATATTAGTAATTTTAAAATATCAGTGTTTTTTGCTATTCATAGTCCTAGAATTTTAAATCGTTTTCTAAAATATCTACATCTGTATTATTTCCAGAAATTAATTTCATTTCCTTACATTTATAGAAGATACTGCAATTAAAAACCAAAAACACATGATTCCAGTCTCCATAGATTTCCCACCTTCTGTTAAAGACATTAATTTATCTGGCATTTTTATAACAACAAATTAGTTTATTACTGGATATCAGCATATGCCTAATAAAATTTATTTTAATAAGCATTTTTTCCATATAACATATTACAGCAAAGGCCTAAAAATATGTATGTGTTTGGACTTGTTTAATCTTACAGCTGGACTATATCCAGTATGCCATGAAGTGAAGTTCAAAGCAGGGGTGTCTACAGACAAAGGGTCAGGACAGCTGTCCTAGCGTAGTCATGCTCAACAAAAGTAACACTTGCCAGTATTAAAGGCCAATTCCACCTTCTTTGCCCTGACCTCCCCACAGCATGTTTATATTACAAGCCATTTGGGGTCAGAGAAATCTTGATTACCCCAAAGCCTACTAGGCACAGATAGCAAGCAGAATCCATTTCAAATACAAGAGTGATTCTACCATCCCGACAATCACTACCAAGACTTCACAGAAGACTATGTCGTCTGGATTGCATTGTAACTTAGCTCAACGCAGAACTCCAACAGTTCAGAGTCTCCTACTGATCTTAAGTCAGATCTGTAACGTTGCTACCACAGTACCACAGATACACACATCTTCCCTGTTTGGTAGAAATATCAGAGACCAAGAGGCTGCAGGAGGATGAAATCTGCAATTGTCTTTGCAACAATAAATCAGGTATCTATTCTGGTGTAGAGATAGGATATTGAATGCTGCCCTGCTACCACCAGTGTAGAAATTAAGAGTAGTACAATACATGTACACTGAAACCTGCCATCGCGTGTTTGTGTTAACTTAATGTGCACATTTTGTATTTCAAAAAGAAAAATAAAAGCAAAATAAAGTGTTTATAACTCTACCATATTGTGGATCTTTATTCTAACAAATGTCAGAAGGAATTACTAGATTTAAAACAGTCTTAGGGCATTCTCTAGACGGTAGCTATCTGTGGATGGTACTGAGTACAAAAGGTGAAGCCAGTGGGCAGGCAGCTGCTGTAGCAGGCACAATCTGAGGACAAGATGAGGGAACAGAGATCTGATGAAGCAGAGCACCACACATGGAGCCACAAGGAAAAGCTCAAAGATAATGGGCACTTCTGCAGATGGCCAGCTAGAAATGACTGCTGCTCTTTCAAATTAGAACATAGACTGTCTGAAATGAGAACTGCAAAGAGGTCAATGCAGGTGGCTGAGGGGCAGAAAAAGGAAAGGCTTTCTCCAGGGCTTCTGGGACATACTACTTATTCTGCGCTATAAGCCAGTTCCTGTGTAAGAGTGTCAGCAATTTCTCATCTACACCTTTTGCACTGTGTCCCGAGGTTTTGGACTTAGCATGGATTCTCAAGTCTCTAAAGCCTTTCCTTGCCAGTATGACAGGTACATTTGTTGTTTTCTATTTCTCTTCTTCTACTGCTTCCTCTAACAAGATGCCCTACATCAGTAATTCCAAACTATACATTGGTTAACTTTTATTCTACATGATTTTTTTTAAAAAAATAAGCACAACAAAACCACTGAACACCTGTAAGATTTCTAAGATTTTAATTTTCTGAATATCTACATATGTGCATCAGTAATTGAAGTCTACAAAATGCAAAAATAACATTGACTTAAATATAACACCTAAAATTTAGGTAGTTTTAGTAAGTTGTAATAAACAACACACTTGTAATAGAATTTACGTATTTTTTAAACATTCTTAAAACTAGAATAATCTGGAAATAAAGTTTTTCCACACAGTCTACATTATAAAATACATATTTACAAATAATATTAGAGAATTTGCAAATGTTTTCCACTATTTAAACTTCCCAGCCTTGATAAATACAAAACCCAAGAAATGACTCCTCCCAGAAATCTACAAAAATACGTGCACAGCTGTAAGATGATTACAAAACAAATTTTATAAATAAAAAGGCACATCTGATTTGTAAACTCAATAATGGTCCTCAACGTAAGTAATCATAGAAACTTTTAATTGCTTCTCATTATTACTCATTCTTTTTTGTTGATGAATAAATTCTGCTCTAATTCAGCAGGACTCTATAGATTTGTCTTAACTTCCAGCATACAAGTACTGAATGGCGGCCGTGATGTACAAAAATAAACAAACTGAACTGAGTAAGGGTCTGCTGAGTACCCACAGCCAGCACGGACTCCTAGCAGCAAGATGATGACCTTCTCGGCGCCTGCATTCAACAGCATACAGAGCAGTACGTTGGGATTTTGGATTTGATGATGATAAGGCTTCCCTGTGGACAGAAAACAATTGGGCGTCATTCCTACCATGAAGTTACCTAGCAGACATGACACTTGCAGCACATGCCTCAACAGTCTCCAACCCAAGACAAACAGAAATAGGATAAGACCAGAAGAAGGGGATGAGAAATGGGAGCGCAACTTTGCTTCTGAGCTTAAAAATCCTTCTTGCAGTGTGGAGCAGGGAGCAGGGCAGTAGTCAACCCCCCCCACCACCCCCCGCAGCTGCCTCGCTGCCAGGAAGCAGAGCTCTTCTCCGCGCTGTGGCTTCCTTCTGTGCCGGAGGGGCAGCAGAGCAGCCTGAGCGCCGCGCTAGAGGACCTGAGCTCACGGCCGACAAAGGACCCAGCCGAGGACGAGGACGCGCGCTGGGGCTTTAAGTTCTCACACGTTCAATCAAGACCAAGCTTTGTGTAAAAATGTGCCTTTCCCAAGACAAGAGAAGATATTACTTAGAAAGAAAAATCAAATCAGCCCAAGAAAGAACCGATTTCAATTTAAGGCAGGTAATACACAGGTCCATCATAAGCAAGTGACTGTGTGATTCTAATGGTTGATACTTAACTTCCTCCCAAGTGGGGGCTTGACATCATTATAATATACATGCTGTAAGAACTGTGCAGTTGTGCTGCTGAGGGATGGCTTAAAAGACTTTTAACTTTTTTATTTTGTGCTTAATCAAAGATGTTTTATTTATTTATTGTATTTTAAGGAAAAGTCAACAGGGTGTTCAGGGCCTCACTACTAGATCGGACTTGTACTGAACCACCTGATTACAGCCTCCCAAGAACTGGGATTACAGGCCCGCACCTCCACACCCAGCCTCAAGTGTCATCTCAGCTTGGGGGAGGGGGGGTGCAGGGATGGCATGGCAGGCCCAGGAAGCGAACCCCCAGCCCCTGCACCTGCTTGCAGGTGCTTTAATCTGCTGAGCTATTCGGCTGGCTCTAGCTTTAAAGACTTATTTCCAACATTTAGGAAAAAAATCTTATATTAAGCTTTAAATTCTTAAACGAGAATGAAAAGCATTAAGTTCATGCAGGACTGCCAAAATATCAAAACCGAACACAATAATTAACCAGAAAGTCTCTGATATGTAACTTCAATAGAAAATTTTCTATTGAAATTACACAATTATTATTTTTATTATTTATTTTTAAATTGTATTTATTTATTTTTTTTTTGGCGGAACTGGGGATCGAACTCAGGACCTTGAGCTTGCTAGGCAAGCACTTATTGCACTAAGCTATCTCCCCGGCCCCCATAATTATTTTTAAGACATTAAATAGGTCAGAAGGTGCTAGAAATCTGAAGAAATAAATAATACTTAAGAGTCCCAACAATGACAAAATCTTTTCATTTTATTCTTGATATACTCAAAGTCAGTAAAACTGAGTCCCAATAAAAGAGAGATTATCTCTGGGCCCTGGGATGATTAAATATATCCTCTGTATTCTATATTTAAGTCTTACACTTCTTTCACACACATGGGCATGCATGTGTCTACCCATGAAACATCCTGTCCATTTCTACTGTCCCATTCTGAAAGATCCACAGGACATGGAAAGCTGTGAAGAAAGTTGTAGAGTAAGAAGCTGTCACCGTTATTCAGCACCTGCTTACATGCATATGGGGGTGTAGAAAGGCCAAGCAGGTTTTACATCCCATTCTCCCACCAGCCAGCATGCACTGTGCACCTGCCGCACGGACACGGGCTTGGCTGGGGCACATCTCCTCAGCAAGGCATCCGAGTGCTACCCTCGGCCTCGACTTCAACACAACAAAGAAATCCAAAGTCTAATAAGGTTAGAGACCGACTTCTCTTCATAAAGTTTTCTCTAGGCATTCATCATGGAAAGAATGCAATCCACTCAAAGTGAGTGAAGTCAGTCAACCTGGATAATTTAGGCAAAATTTATACCACAATGTCTTTAATTTAAAATTGTCTATTATCCAAATTTTCTTGTAATTAATTCCTTTAGAAAAAGTGTCTCAAGTGAAACTAAGTTCTGCAATACTAAGATGGCACATACTTCAGTCATTATAATCTGATAAAATATAACCCTCAAAATAAAACCAACTTATTTCTAAAACAAGACTGATTACCTGGATACTTTTTTCAATGATAAAATTTCAACTAATGTATTTGACAATGTGCACTAAGAAAATCTCACATAGTTGTGTTCTTTGAAAAGTGAGAATAATCGGCTCCCCTTCGGAGTGGGCGTGAGGACCACGAGCACCGGGACGCCGTGCTCCCGCTGCAGAACACTGGCCGCGGGCGTCCTTTCAGTCTCTACTGGTAGATGCCGAATGTGGAGGCCAGGCAGGCAGAAGGGAAGAGGGGCATGGGGATGCTCGGACTGATCTCTAGGACTAAACAAAATGAATAAACAAGGGCAAAAATATCTGATGGGCTCAGCACACCTCCTTTTTTATTTTTTGTTTTTTGTGCAGGGTCTCACTACACAGCCCAGACTCATAGTGATCCTCCTGACTTCTGCCTCCCAAGTGCTGGGATTATAGGCGCGCGCTACCATGCCTGGAGTCCATCCCTGGTTCAGTGCACCTGGAGGCGGGGCTGGCGAGGCACGCGGAGCCAGGGATCAAACCCTGGCCTCTGCGCTTACCTAAGCAAGTGCTTAGTCTGCTGAGCTATACCGCCAGCCCTAGGACAGATTTTTTTCTTTTTTGTGGAATTGGGGATTGAACACAGGCCTTGTACTTGCCAGGTAAGCACTTATTTTACTGAGTCATCTCACCAGCCCCCAGCACACCTCTTTTAAACTATTTTCTGGAGTTTCAGTTGTCAGACAAACTGTCTAAAATATTTGAAAGAAAAAAACCTAAACTGCAGCGCATGGAGTGCGGTGTGTTACGCAGAGTGAGGCTTCCCATTCCTGTACCTGCTCAGCCTGGGTCTGAGCCCTGGTCCTTGAACGCTGCGTGACCTACCCAAGACACAGTGGGCTCCTAAGCAGCACCACACTGTCACCTTCACAGGATGACTGCCGCTGAAGCCACACATGCAGGCGACTCACAGTGGGACTTAAAATGTTCACAAATGACTTAGGACTGGGGCTGCACCTACACTCCCACCGTGTTGCTCCAGCTTCTGCAGCGCGCTGGTGATCGGCTCCTTGAACTTCTTGTCCATCAGTCTCTTGGCGAGCTTTTGAAGTAAAATATAGGAGGCGACATAAGATGATTTGAAAAAGGAGCAATATTCACAATAGGCAAAACTATGAGTAACTCTTAATTTAAGATTTCAAGACTTCTTCAAGGTAGTATCTTATTAAAATTCATATGTACTAGAAACTACTGTACTTGTTTATATAACGAATTTACATTACTTGAAGTAATACTAATTCATTAGAGTATAACTGAAGTAAATTTTCTATGTAATACCATAGATTTCATTTTTAAAAAGCAAGCACTTTTGCAGGACTATGATAGAAAGCTGTATCCCTAAGGAACACAAACTCTTACAGTAAGAGGTAACAACAGCATATTTATATGAATAATTCACTAAAGATAGATACAGAAATCAGACTACAAGCCATCAAGAGCACTGTCCCCCAAGACCCTCATGCACTTAGGCGGGGATTCCAAAAGGCAACAATTACGGCTCATAGCTCATTCATGTCAGGGGTGGGAGCTGCTGCAGAGATGGGTCACGAGGTCCCATCCAGAAGGGCCTGTCCTCCTTCCCTGGCTCTGCCTGCCTCTCTGCTTCAAGTCTGGCACGAGCTGTGCAGCTGTTCCTGTCCATGCTCCTGTGCCATCCCATCCCGCCTGAGGGTCAGATTACGGAGTGAAATGTGAACTAAAATAAAGCTCTGCTCCTGAAATCGTGGGCAACCACCTACCCGAAGTGCTGTATCTGAAGTGGGTTCCAGAAGCAAAAGGGGAAGTGTGTTTAAAGAAAGGAAAGGGCCTAAGGCGAGTGAGGACCGACTCACAGGAGCAAGCAGAGATGTAGAGGATTCAGGTACGCATGCACAGCTTCTAGCAGTAGCCCCACCAGGAGGCTGCACTGTTACACCCAAAGCCCAAATCAGTTCAGCTCACAGACTTGCTCATGGGTCTACTTCCCGGAAACGCACACAAAGCCCAGGAAAGAGATCCTCATTCACCAGGCACTGAGGCCCATGTCAATCAGGGCGCTTTCTTCTCTTCCCTCCTGGCATACATGAAAGTAACTGAGGAGGAGCACTTCACACGCTGGGCCTTGAATAACAACGCCTTCACCTCCGTGGAAGATTAGGCAAGGTCAGAAGAGGCTTCCCGAAGAGTACCACAATGTGAGAAAGACGACCCGAAAAGACACTCACAGGGCCTACTGACGGCCTAAAGACTGACAAGAAGTCGTCTCTCCACAGCCCTGGGGTTTAACGCTTCAGACAGTGTAGCAGGTCAATTCTGGCTAGGACATAGTCCGTCAGTGTGCAGTAAAAGATGAACTTGCCCTAGAAAGGTTTGACCCTGACTGCTACCCTACCTTATGGTGGTAACCACTACGATCGCAAGGAGTGCCATCAGGGAGGTGTCCGTGTTAACCTTTGGGCTCTAGGCCAGACTGGTCCATACTGACATGTGACTGATGGTGGGGTTGCTGGGCAACAGAACTACACAAGTGTATGAGCACAGCTGATAATTCGTGGTAACAAATGAACACAGGTATCATGACATTACACTGCTCATTAATTTTTTATTCACTTAACTTTAACTTTTGTTCACTTATTATAGGTGTAAGGGCTGCTCTTTTAGGTACTTTCTAATACAAGCAATTAAAGAGAAATATTCTTACTGCCCATTAGTAAAACATTTTAAGATTGCTAAGTCCAATTTCTGTTTTTTTGGTTAAGATGATAAGTTTCTTAAAGGTTTTGAGATATTTTCATGATTAACTTAAAGACATTAAAAAACCAGGAGATACCTTTGCACAACTACTCTCTAATGTTGCAGACTTACACTTGTAAGCAGATGTTTCAGGTGGTCATTTAGAGAAGACCCAACGACAACACTCAACTGTACCAAAGCACTCAATCCTCTTTCAAACACTTCGTCATCCGAATGAACCTGTGGAATTGGTTAATTAGGGAAACAGTGGTGTGAGGTATGGATAGGTCAGGAAAAGGGTAAGCAGGTTGAGATAAAAGATTAAGTATTTAAGGTTACATAATAATCACTGAAAAGCAGAATTAAAAAAATAACTTTTATGCAGAAGATCTAGAGACGGAACACAAAATTTAATTAATATATATATAGCTTAGAGAAAGACTAATGTGAGCTGGCCCCTTCCACTACTTACTCAGAATGTTCCTTCCCAAAAGCACCCTCCAAAGTTATCCTCGAGGTCATAATCAGGCAGCCCCTGAGAGTAGCCTCATTTCCCACACATATCAAAGCCATAGGCAGAGGACAGAAGAGAGGCATCAAATGTTCTTTCTGCATCAGAACTTTCTTTTCTCTCATGTGATTAGAAAAAAAAAAAATAAGTACAATGCAATAACCTACCAGAGCGGCCCTCAGCACAGGAACCAGTCTAGGAAGCAAAGGTATAGTCTTCTCAGGAGCACCTCTGACCAGAAGCAATTCTCTAAAGCCCTCCTTGGACACGAAGGTATACGGATGTTTCGTCTCTCTCAGACCCTGACAAAGACACAAAAACAAAGCAAAATAAAGTTGATTCGCTACCATTTTGCTAGCAAAAGCAAAAACTGAGTCCTCATTAGGCTAAGTAAAAGCTCTAGGTCATTACACATAATTTCAGTGATCATAATTTAAACTGCACTGAAATCATGTGGGGCAAAGGACACATACGAGGCAGGAGTATCTGCTCACAAAAGAGAGCAAAGAGAACAGAACCAAAAACATTAAGAAAATAAAAAGTGCCTGGAATCCCAGCGCAGAGGAGGCTGAAAACAGGAGGATCACTATGAGTCTGAGCTGCATAGTTAGACCCTGTGCCAAATATATAAATGGAAGAAAAAAAAAAAAAAGTGAAACAGGAAAAAGAATAGGAGAGGCATGAAAAAAAGAAAATTTTTAAAATGTAGGAAAAACAGGAGGCCAGGGAGATAGCTCAGTGCAGTAAGTGCTTCCTGAGTTCAATACTCAGTACCACAAAAACAAAAACAAAAGAAAGAAAGAAAAGTAGGAAAAACAGGGAAAATACAAAAATAGAAAGAAACAAAAGGAAACTTTACTAGGATATTAAAAATGTTTGGGTACACCCCTAACCCAGAAAGCACAGCAAAGAAGTGTGAAGAGTATTTTCGTAACCACCCCATAAAAGTGCCAAACTACTGCACCCCCTACCTCTGCTGCGAGTTGAGAATTTGTTTGATGCATTCTGAAATTCTGTCCCCTCACATTTAAATGTCTTATAGTAAAACATTTAGACGATAAAGTTTATTGTACATGCAAAATGACTTTTAAGGTTTTATGTCATTTTGAACTATAGGATGCAATACAAAAGGATATTGAGGTAGACCATTTGCTACTGTGCCCTTTACCCTAAATGCGTAAGAAACAATAAAACAGCAATCTTTTTGGCAGTTTAATCAATCACTGTAAGTCTCAACAAAAGGACCATATGAATTTTTTCAAAGATAAAACAAAGCAAAAGCAAATAAAAGTAAAGCAACCCAACTAGGATCTCATCAGTTTCTGAACATCAAAAGAAATCACCAAGCATAAAAAGAAAACGCATGAACTGGGAAAAAACTTTCACTGGCTGTCTCTCTGATGCACTTCTATTTAGAACTATTATATTAAATATAAAGAATTTTTTTTAAAAATCAGATCTCCAAAATTCAAAGATCCGATTTTAAAAAAACAGGCATCTGAGATGAATATTCACTTCTCAGATGAAAAAATACAAAATGGCAAATAGATGAAAAACTGATGGATCTCATTGGTCATCTGAGAAATGCAAATTAAGCCAACATTGCAATTCCACCTCATCCCAGAAAGAATGGCTCTCATAAAGCAGTAGCCAATAACAGATGCTGGAGTGGTTACAGGGAAAGGGAACCCTTTTCCACTGTTAGTAAGAGTGTTTAAAATTTAAAAATAAAGGAATTTTATTTTATCAATTATTTTTATCCTTACCATCAAAGTTAAAAGCCTTTAAGCAAATTTAAATTAATTTCAAAATATGCTGCCCATTAAGTTATACTGCTTCTAATACCAAATTCTGCAAGCTCAATTATAACTTATAAAAAGCAAACATTTATCAAGACAATACAGCAGCCTTTGGTTTTGACACTACACTTAACAGTAAGTGCAGCTGTAAACTTAAAAGCACTAGAGATTTTTATGCTGTATTATGAAAAAATCCCAATCATAGTATCACCCTCTCCAGTGATTTTACAGAAAAGGGAAATGTTTCTTTAAATTAAAAAATTGTGACTGCAAAGCTTTTACTGATTACTTATGATTTTATTTTGAGGCACGATTAGATTAATATTATTAGTGCTTTAATTTATTCACCTGTTTCCTAACAAACTGATCTCCGGCAAAACAGCTAAATGTTTAGATTCAAGACAACTCGTTCTTTCACTTACCTAGTTCTGATTTCAGGAATAAAATTCACAGAAGACACTGTAGAGTCACTTGAAGCTAAGACTATGCCAGCTTATTTCCTGACCGAAATGTAAACCATACAAAGGAAATCATGAAAAGCTTTTAAAGACTACTCAGTGGTAACGACCAACTCCAAGCTATTCTACCAACAGCACAGCCAGGAGTGCCCAGAGCCGACCTCTTCTCTAAGTGGATAATTAGGGGGTTGAAATCATTTCCTAAGATGTACACCATATCAGTACACCTGGTTGTAGAAACACAGATGAGGCCCTTATTATCTGGCATCAGTTTAATTTCAATCCTGCTTTTCAGATTTATCTAATTTAAAAAAAAAAAAGTATCTTCCTCCTCCTTACAATACCATTATTTTTATTTTCTGAATTAAGTATGAATATTTCATGCACTTATCTAGACATCTTCAGTAGACTAATATGTTTATAAAGTTGGTTAGTTGATTTCTAGTAAAAATATGACAATCATCATTACTTCCTAAAGGGGTGCCAAAGTACAGAATGAGATTTACTGACCTTCAACAAAGCATTTAATGGAATTTTAACAAAATTTTTTTCCCAAATTAACACTCAGGAAGATGAATTAGTTACCTCAGCTAAAGTAATAAGAAGAGGATCAAATGGGAGATTTTCAGGAGGACAGTCCCACTGTAATCTGTGCTTTACTGAGCCGTGCACCAACCTAGAACACAAAAAAAAAGTGACTGCAGGGATCTAACTGGCATACACTTATGCGGTATAAAAATGTATACAACTATCTTGTAGCATACAGGTAGACCATAACTTAAAAATCAACAAAATCATTTTTCAAAATAATGGCTATAATCCTACAAAGCTCCACTCTTTCAGCAAACTACAGTATTTGAGCATGTTATCTGTTAGTCCTAGCGCTCCAATTTCACAATAAGATACATGACCTCCAGAAAATAAAAGCATGTAAACAAAATAATCAGAAAAAATTTTTTATAAAAGGCACTGTTTTTCTGATACAGGTCATTTACACTTAATGCTAATAATAAGCAATATCAGATTTAATCCCTATTTCAGAACAGGAGATAGATCAGCCCATAAAATGGACTAGTCAGGTAGCTCCTGGCTTAGGGCCTATGCACTGAGACCTAACTGACAACAACTATGTGGTAGACACAGAAGCCATGGAGTGTGGCGAGGGAGATGCACGCATCCAAGGAGCCAACACTCCAGTAACAGGGAGCCCACCCAGCAACCTTCCTCTACTCCTTTAGTAGTTTGGTAAAAGCCAGAGGTCCCTGCAACTGGTTTGCATTTTTAGCAATACTCAGCTGCTGGACAGGAGGTAGAACACTCAAGAACTTTAAAATGGAGCTGCCATTTAAATCTCAATATGAAATAATATTAAATTGATGAACATTTTTTAACTTTTTCCACTCAAAATCTGAAAATACCATTAATATTTTTTTTAAATTTTAGAACAGCAATAAGAAAAAAATAAATGTTGTGATTATCATTATATAATGAAAATCAAATTTTCTATCATCTAAGACATGCAAAAATTTCACATATTGTGAAGGCAGCAAGATCATATGCAAAAAACAAGCAAAATCAATACCCACATATAGCAAGACATGTAACCTCACTAAACTGCCAATTTTTACTTTACCAAGATAGGTTTTCTTATTTTAATTTGCCCAAACCTATACTTAAATTTATACAGTTAAAAGTGGTTCATTCTGTTTTTTAAGTTATTTCATGGTTTGCCACAGATCTCCTCTCTGTAATTACACTTTAGAATTCAATGGTTTTCTTCAACAATGCCTGGAGATCTATACCAATCCAACAGCCAGGGTAAAAAGTTATTGTTATTTCAATCTTTCCAGTAAATAAAACTGTGAATACACTGAAACTGAATACTGTATTGACTTTACTCAATTATCCTGAAGAATACAGTCAGCTGTAAACTGTATTGATTTTACCTGCAAGGAATACCTCCTTTAGAATAAATAGCAGCAAATGCAGAAGGAACTCGTGACTGTTCACCGAACTGAAATAAAAAATAAAAATGTGACCATCGCATGCATTTTTGTGACATCTAATCAATTTTAATCTTGCTGCAATAAGGACAAACAGTCATCCTGATTTTCAAACTGCCACTCTGGCGTTATGTACATCACTTTTGCTCAGCTACAATTCTGAGAAAAATTGTCTCGGTACTATTAAAGCCACAACCAAGATTTGTACATATCTTGTTAGTTCCTTGTTTCAGAGGGTTTAAAATTGCCAGAAACTCTCCATAGACTGACGCAGTATGAGGGTGAGTGGGGAGGTGGTGCTGAACATAAACAAAGCATATTTATTATCAGCTACGAGCATATCTCCTACTTGCCCCCACCCCCTGAGACGAATAAAGTGAGCTGCACAGTTACTGAATCTGTAAGCTCTCTAGGCTGCCACTATGTTCTGTAAGGAAAACATGGGCTGGGATATAGCTCAGATGCACAGTACCTGCATAACAAGCATGAGGTTATGAGTTCAATTCCTAGTACCAAATGAAAAAAAAAAAAAGAAAAAGAAAAAAGATTGGGTCAATGCCAGGTGTGGTGGCACACACTCTTAATGCCATCCCTCTGGAGGACTGAGGCAGAAAGATCGCAAGGTCAAGTCCTGCCTGGGCAGCTTAATAAGATCCTGACTCAAAATTTAAAAATGAGAAGGGCTGGAGATGTAGCTCAGTGGGAAAGCCGTCATTTTAATCCCCAGCACTGCAAAACAAAGCAACATAAAACAAACTAATGGTAGAGTAAGTCACAGATTGTGCAAAATCCTCACAAATACACATTATATGAACATACTTCCTTGGATTATGTAACGTCAAATCTTCCACTGTAGCTATATATTATATTCTAGTGGTCTCCAACCTTTTAGGCACCAGGGAAGGGCTTCATAGACAGTAATTTTGACAGTGTGGTTACAGTAGGCTTTGGGATGATTCAAAGAAGCATGAACCAAGGTCCCCGGCACAAGGAGCTCGCAGTAAAGTCTGTGCTCTAGGTATGAGAACCCAAAGGCATCTGATTTGACAGGAGGCAGAGCTGGGACAGGGAAGTCAAGGCCTGGGAGGAGCTGTACCTACAGATGGCACTTCCCTGGCTCCCCCTTGCTTACTTCCTGCTGCGGAGCCCAGTTCCTAACAGGCTACAGACCTGTACCTCTCTCATAATAGAGCACATTAATCTACCCTCTAAGAGGAAATGGCCAACCAACAAGTCAGCCACCATAGCCTAAGTGATTTCAATATAAGTAATCAGAGACTTCAGAATTTAGAACAATTCTTTCAAGAGGTACTTTGAACATAATCACATGAAACGTAATTGTTGAAATTATGAAATTAAAAAATGTAATAACCTTTGTTAAAGATATAACTAGCTGAATGTTTTTTTAAAAAAAAAACATACAAAGCTTAAAAATAAACTCCGTACACATTTTCAAGTAGTTTATTTAACATGACAACTTGAAAGTAATTTTTAAAGTTTGTATTGCTTTTAAAGCAGGAATTATGACCAGAAGAAAAAAACATTCCTCTACCACTACAAATTACTACCTAGGACTTGGACTGAATTTTGTATCTCACATTTTCCAATCGAGTTTCTTCTTTGTTTTCAGAAGAAAGATGTTAATTCTACCTGGATGCTCCACACAAATAAGGGCGAACTTTTTGGACCTTTCCGTGATAGAAACAGCCCACTGCAGCACCTGAGGTCCACCTCAAGCAGTGGGCCAGCCACCTTGCACTGCTGCCCTGCAACTCACCCTGCTACTAAACTGCTCTGAATGCCACCCAATTTTCTCTATTTGCTACTTTTGATCTGTTAGTGAAGGAAGCTGATTCTGCACACCTGGGAGGGTGAGGGCAAGCAGGTGCAGAGACTAACCATTTCTAGTATGTTCTGTGGCTGGTATCAGTAAGCAACCTACATTCATCTGCCCTCAAAATCAGCTGAGAGCCTCAGTTGCTCTCATAATCCCCTTCAAAGAAAGAAAACATTATCACCCTACCCTACAACAGTGGCGGCGAACCTATGGCACATGTCCCAGAGAGGGCTTTTTTCCACTGAAAGAAAAGGTACAGGGTTTGCCATCCCTGCTCTATACCAAGGCTGAGCATAGCCCAGACAACACCTGGTGGTGCTGTACATTTTTAATTTCTAGCCAGTTCACTGACCTACAGACTTACCATTCATATGCTTTTATATAAATAAATCTCAGGTTGGTTAAATTCCCTCTGAGAGAGAAAAATGGGGGCTAGTATTACAGTTAGGACTATTGACAGAACGAACTTCTAACTTATAGAGTATAGAGGAATAAACACCTTTATGCAACTATACAGGACCACATCCACTGAGTAAGTTCTCTTACGATGTAAGTAAAATAACATAGAAAATACAAAATGCAGTTGACATGCAGTTCATTTTAAGGTCTACATGACCTTTTTTTTTTGTACTAGGAATCAAACTCTGGACCTCAGGCTTGCCAGGCAGGCGCTGATGCTGCTGAGCTGTATCTCCAGCCCATCAATGAATCCAGTAGGGCATACCAAACTGACTAAATCTAGCTCAAGGAAAAAAATGGAGGAAACTCAGGCAGCATTCCAAATGGTGCAATAGTCAGAGGCTAAATGCATGCTACCTCTAAAGACCTAGTGAGTAGGGAATCTTTTTTGTACTTACAGGGTTAATTGTCTTAGGGTTCAGTTTATCACTTGGTCGAGGATGGAGTTTTCTTACAGACTCTGGAGAACTGGGCAAAGAAGCAGATCTGCTCCACTGCACGGCAGCCCTCTGTTTCACCTGTGGGCCTGTAGATGTCTTCTGATCACACTTACCTGGAAGGAACAGATACCAACAAAAAAGAGGCAGGAGGAATAAGGTGGAGCCCTAACACACAAGGTCTCACTGAGAAAGCCGGCCTCTTCGTTTAGAAAAGCACACTTCTGACCTGCCCCTCTGTTTCTCAACTGGACGCTCGCAGGACACCCTGGCTTCTGCATCGCCTCCCTTGCACTTCTGCAGCTGACTTCAAAACGTGTTTATCTGTGATCAACATAAAGAACAAAACACAGTACAGTATAAGCTACAATAGGAAGTACATAAAGTACACAGTATGCAGCCAAATACCTGCAGAAGACTAAGAGGAAGACAGGAAATCATGGCAATTTTAGCAAATATAATAACACCAAAAACGTAAGCCATGCTCAAGAAAACAAGATACATAAAATAACTTTTCCTGCCGAAATTGTCAAAGTAGACTGTAAGAAGCTCATCTGCAGCACTCTGGCCACATGAAAAAAATATACACTAGATTTTTCAAAGGAGTGGTTTGTTCATCCCCTACTAACCCCAAAAAGTTCCTGTAATGCAATCATGTTTTACATTTTGAACGAGTTCAAAAAGTGTCTGCAATTAAAGTTTAAGCAGGGGGTGGGGAGATGGCCTAGTAGAATAAGCGCTTGCCTGGCAAGCCAAGGGCCTGAGTTCAATCCCCGATTACACACACACACACACACACACACACACACACAAAAGTTTTATCATGTTGGAAAATTGAGCTTCCCATGTCTTGCTGTACACGGGACTTTTCGCGTGCAGCATACGTAACTTACAGCAACAACTACCTAGATATAACAATGTAAAATCTCTGTATAATTTTTAAAAAATCCTATATAAATGAGTGTCTTTTAATTTTTTCACTCACTAAAATTACTCCTCTTTAAGGCAAATTAGGGGTGCTTGACTTTTTAAAAAAGAACTACCTGGGAGGTCACCACCTACAGGCTTGAACATGAGCTGTCTGTATAACGCAAACGATTAATTCATCTTACTTGAAGTGCTTTGTCATTAAGTACAGTACGGGGGAGGAGGAGGAGGAGGATATGGCGACGGGGAACGTGAAGAGGCAAGACATAGGCTGTTTTGCGTTACAAATACCACAGAGACCGCCCTTCGTTGCACTCTTTTGTAGAATAACAGAAAGATCTAACAGACACTAGAATCTCTCGCTCCACCAAACGTGGAAGCCCAGCTATGTCACAACGTCGGAGAAAAGCCCAGGCCCCTGAAGCTCCACCGCAGAGCCACTTTCCCTTAGTCTGGATACTGCACTTCGCCGAGAGCGGCCTCCAGCGCCCGAGTCACGGGCAGGAAGCTCCTGCCACTGTTTTGGGCAACTCGAATATCCGGTTCACTTCTCTGCAATCCTGCTGGTCCTCCCAACGCAGGTCCCGCGCCACCGCGCCGCGCCGCACGCTCAACTCCTGCGGGCAGAGCTTATTCGTCAGCCTGCCACAGGCCCTCGCCGGCGACGTGCGCTCCACACCTGAAAGCCCCAACTCCGCGGCGCAGAGGGCGCGCGAGGCCCACGCGTCCCCGCCCGTTCCGCCGTCGAGGAACCCTAAACCTCACTGTGCTCCCCACGTCCCCGTCACCGCCCGCCCCCAAATACCTCCGACTGGCTTTCGGGACCAGTGAGTTGTCCAAGTTGGAAGACGAGCAGACACGGAGAAAACGAGGGCAAAGGCAGAAGCTGAAAAGCGGGTCGCAAAGAGGCCCGCGGGGAGGCGCTCCGCGCCGGGAACCGGGCCCTCGGCCACCGCGGGCGGCCGCACCGGGGCGCAGGCCCGCTGGGAGGCCACCGGGCGGAGCGCGCCGCAGGAGCCTCGCCCCGCGGCCGCCGCCCGTCGGGGACGCTCGGTCCTACCGCGCCGCTCTGCCGCCGCAGCTGCACACGCCAACGGCCACCGGGGCCGCAGCCGACCGCTCCAGCACGGGAAAACGGGGCTTCGCGCCCCGACGCCGCGCACTGACGTCAGGCGCACGTTGCGTCCTCTTAGCCAATGGCAGAGAGGCCGCGGGAGCGCGGGCGCTGAATGGTTACCGTGGCGACCGGGTGGGCGTGTGACCCTGAGGTTGTGTGCAGACCAAAGGAACCCCGGTGGGAGAGCTCTTCAGAAAGTGAGTTTGTGGAAGCGGAGAGGTGAACTGCTGCCGGTACCTCCAGGCTTGGGCTGAATTCTCAGCTTCTCTCCAGGACAGTGTTCTCTGTTCTGCCTCTGCTGTTCTGAAAGCTGCGGACTGTGAACAATCCGTCTGGCTTTAATGGACTGTGGAATTTCTTTGAGCTTCCTCTTCTGTGTAACTAATGCCCAAACCCAGCTGTGGAAAGTCTCTTCCTGTCACGTTTTACTAATACGTATGCTATTGCATGGAACTACAGAATACACCCCATCCTAGTATTACAAAGCATGTGATGTTGACCTCAGAATTATTTTAATGTGCTGTTGCAAGAAAATGGTTCCTTTTGCTATTCCACCACCATCAATTTGAGTTGTCTTAGTAAAGCGCCTAAACTCTTTGCCCCCTGTCGATTGCGACCCTTCCTAATCTTCTGTTGCCAACCCAGGCTTTCTGCTCAAGTGACACTGAGGTACACAGCTGTGCAGTCCTTCCATTCCCTTGTGCATTCTTGTTACCTGACTGTCACCCCAGAAGCATCTTCATTAGGGTGTGTGTTTCTTCAGGATAAAGACTTTGTCTCTTTGTTTTTCTCCAGTCTCTAGTGTGTGCTCAGGAAATGCTTTTGGAGGAAATCAAATGAATGAATGAATGAATGAATGAATGGTGAATGAATTCCACTCCTACTGAATTTCACTAAGCTTTAAGAACCTTATGTGAGCTGGAGAGATAGCTCAGCGGCATAAGCACCTGCCTGACAAGCACAAGATCCTCAGTTCAATCCCCGGTACCAGACCAAAAAAACGAAAATAAAACTTACCTGTTACCTGTTGGGGGGGGGGGTAGATGGGACATAGCTCAGTGGAATAAGTGCTTGCCTGAGATAGCTCACAGGCATAAGCACAAGGTCCTGAGTTCGATCTCTGGTATCGTAAAAATAAAATAAAAGAACCTCATGTAGAAATTTACCTTAATTTTAAGTTGTATTGTAATGTCCAAGTCTGTGTCCCCATGAAAGTCAAACTGTCTTCATGCATTTTCTTTTTTTTTTTCTTTATTTGAGAGAGAGAGAGAGAGAGAGAGAGGTGTGTGTGGCCAGCTCAGCCCACCAGGGGGCGGGCTGGCTGGCATGTGGTGCTGGGGGATCGAACCGTGGTCCCTGTGCTTTTTGGCTAAGCTTGTTCCAAGTAGGTGCTTTAGACCACTGAGCCATCTCTCCAGCCCTGTCTTCATGCATTTTCTATCCCCTGCACTTGTCACAGTGTGTGCTTAACTAATAGCTTGGAAAAAAGTAGACATTTAAAAATGCCCTGTGTCTTCAGCTACTGTTACGGTTTGTGTCTAGTTGTCCGCCCAAAGCCTCCTGTAAGTTGTGGGTGGGGCTGTCAAGCTTGAGGAGCAGCAAGAGGCTTGAGGGGCGGGGCCAGAGGACCAGGGCGGAGCTTGAGGGGCGGGGCCAGAGAGGTGCTGACAGTCAAACTGACAGCCTGTGCCCCCCTCAACACACACAGCAATGTCCCAACCTCTCTTCCAGATCCTGTAGCATGGGGTAGCAGTGTCTCAAGGTATTGTTGTGTAATTCAGGCTGCTTTAAACTATGAAACCTGCAGTAACTGAGCTAAATAAACCTTTCCTTCCTTAAGCTTGAGTGTCAGGTATCTGTTCCAGCAAAGTAACTAAGACAGCTACTTTCGCAGTATACTTTTTTTCCTCCAACTTCCACAAGTCCTATTGCCGTAGGCAGCTGTGTTAGGTAGAGTATTCTAGGCAGTCAGGCAGGGCTGGTCCGCGGAAGGAGCCAGTGTGGAAGAGGACAAACCTTGCGACTGTGGGAGAGACAGGCGCTTCCCTGAGGGCCAGACCTTAGGACCAAAGATTAAACAAATGCACTCACATGCTTCCGTAGGGATAGATATCAGGGACTGATATTCTAAACAGGTATCAGTCACCTTTAAAAAACCAGGAAAAGTCACTAACCCAACCCCCCACAGGAAAAGCCCTTGTTCTGTGTTCCTGCTCCCTTGCCACAGGACTGGCTTCCATATTTGATCTCGAGTTCATCAGTTTTACCTGAGCATGTATGCTTGTTTTCTGTTTCCCAACTTGGACCTGCTTCATGTTGTGTGTTTGCTCTAAAAAAATCCTAAGAAAAAGCAGGTTCCTTGGCAACCTACTCTGGTCCCCTTCTGTCTCTCAGACAGAAGCTGTCTTTCCTCCAATAAATATATTATTCTCTTTACCTCCATTGTTCCTAAAATTCATTCTTCAAGTTTATAGAACACAAACTAATTCATCCCACATATCTTTCAGGTAGGGAGTTTGCTTCCCCTATACCCTATCCTGTGCTTACCACTAACATTTTCAACAGACTCAGAAATATACATGTCCTTAATCTTCTAATCCTTCTACCCTAAATGGAAAGAGTTGTGTTCAATATTACAAGGAATGTGTGTATTGCTCTGAATGTAAACTCTAAATCTGAAACTCGTCTCTCTTCTTTACCAACTATGATGCCTCTGCAGAACAACTTATATAACCCTCAAGTTTCTCCTCATCATAGGGGCCATGTAAAACCAAACAGTGTGAATAAAAGACCTCATATGTAGAAAGCACCCAGCCTTAGCTAGAGCAATTATCCAGCTGAAAGGAAATTAAAATTAGAAGGCAGAGGCCAGGCATAGTTGTAGTCAAGTCTAACTTCAGCACTTCGGAGGCTGAGGCAGAACAATCATTCTAAATTGGAGATCAGCCAGGGTACATAGTGAGTTCAAGGCCAGCCTGAGCTACATAGCAAGACCCTGTCTCAATAAAATAAAATAAAATAAAACATACATGCATGGCACTGTAAGTGACAAACAATTCAAGCTGTATCTTGGAGTATAGACCATGGACAATGACTTAAACTTTCAGGCTTTTAATAATAACTATTACTGCCAGTGTGAATGTCTCTTAATCATAGTTAAAAGTTTCCTCTATACTTTATTTGTGTAAAAGAACAAGCAGGCTTATTGGTGTCACGCCTTTTTTAGAATATCAGGCAATAAAGGCTGGATGGGCTTTTTAAAAGAACTTGTTTGAGGCTTCCAGGTAAAGATGACCCACAGACAGTTGGCCTATCTAGAGGGTAGGGAAGAGGTGTGAGGAGAGTTGAAGATTTTATAGCATCCATATATAGGTGGTAATCCAGGGTATGGGAGCTGAAGAGGTCCAAGAGAAAATGCAGTATTTGAGTGTGCTGACTGGACATTTGTATTTTAATTCTGCTCTGGTTTTAAGGTGAAGTTCTATATTTGGGAGAGGGTGTAGAAGAATGAGGGAGGGAAAGTAATCTAAGTGTCTCGATGTATGATAAATATTCTGAATATTATTCAGTATTTTTTCTCTTAGCCTATGTAGATCCACTCTTGACCATCTTCCCTGCTATCTGCTCTGGGAAACTCATCAGCATAAATTACATCAATATCCCTGTTATATCCTCCAGATTCTGTTTGGGTTTGGTTAGTAGACAATGCTATTGGTGGATTAAAGCAATTAAGGTTCGGTAAAGGGAGAATATCATTTCTTCTCCCCTATGTGAGGTACCACAGGTTTGCTGCTGCTTCTTTTTTTTTTTTTTTGCAGAACAGGGGATTGAACTCAGGCCCTTGCACTTGCCAGGGAAGCGCTTATTCCACTGAGCCGTCTCCCCGGCCCACTTGTTACTCTTAAGTAAAGGCCACAGCTCTTTTCTTCTATGGTCAGAGCTTTTGAGTTTCCCCAGATGCAAATGTTGATATCTTTACTTCAAAGTAATGGTATAAAGAGGTTCAGAATTTGAGAAATGATGAGGAAAGAGGGTAAGAGCCCTCACCAATATGACCAGTGAATGTCCTAGTAGAGGCTCAGCAGAGACCATTCATGCCTGCCACCATGTAAGGATGCACCTAGAAGGACAAGAAAGACACTTATGGCAAGAAAGTAGAATGTCACCTGACATAAAATCTGCTCATGACTTCATCTTAAAGTTCACATCCTCCATAATTGTGAGAAATAAACATTTGGTTTTTTATGAACTATCAAACCTGTGATAATTCATTATAACAGCCTGAACAGAATAAGATTAAGATTCTAAATGACCAATGAGTAGCAGGCATAAAATATCAGAGACATCTAGCTCTGGAAGACTGAACTATGTGTTGTTTGCTTATATATTTATACATTAAAATATATAAATCTATTTTTAGTATGTTATATAGTACATAAATTGTGAGTTAGATAATTAATCTAACCAAAGTTAAACATTCAGTACAATAGATTTTCTCATTTCTTGATTCATTTGTAGTTGGTTGATTGAATTAATTGCATTTTTTAGTAACAAAGCATTCTAAAGAAATCATCAGTGGTATTAATAGCTTTGCCTTAATCAAAGTAGGAAAAAAAATCTTTCCTTTTATACAAATTACAGACCAAGAAATCATTCCCAATGATTATTCCCAAGTTCCACATCAGGAAATGAAACACAATACATTCTGTATATAATTGCCAGTATACTTAGTAATAGATTATTGGACATTACCATTATAAAGCCATTAAATCTCACTTACACATGGAAAAAATTAAGCAGAGATAGTGTCTTCTCAAGTGACAGCAAATGATATCAATATGAATGAGCATACAAAACCCATTGTCCAACAGAGGAATAACACAAGTCACATAGGAAATTTCCAAGTAGACATGTTTTTAAAAAATATAAAGAAATAATGGAATACATTTTAATAATATATTTAATTTAATATAATATATCAA